CTCTCTCTCTCTCTCTCTCTCTCTCTCTCTCTCTCTCTCTCTCTCTCTCTCTCTCACACACACACACACACACAAGTCCACAACGAAGAAGAAGATGGGCTCGAAGGAGGAAGGAGACCGGTGGCAGATGAAGCTGAAGGAAGAACTGATCAAAGCGCAGCAGTTGGCGACTCGCCTGATGGAGGTGCTGCAATCGGGTCCCGGGGAAGAATCGCTCGTCGACCAGGTTCTGAGCGCCGTCTCCAAAGCTCTCGTTATCCTGGACGCCGAGGGTAAAGCTGCGGCGCCACTTGGTGATGAGCACGGAACCGAAATCTCTGGCCTGAAGAAGAAGAAGATCCTACTTCCTCGAAGAGTCGGATACAGAAGGAGGTAATGTTTTATCATTAATCGGGGTGATGATTCCTCATGCTTCTTATTGGCTCGGAGAGAATCTTATGATGGTAGGTTAGGTTTGGCCTTTTCGGGTGGCATGCAATCATGACGCTGATATCATTCATGGCGTTATGTGCCTTTCCCCGACCTCTGTCGTGTTGATGAAGTTGGACTGATCGTGCTTGGTTTGCAGAGCACATCCATACAAATGCAGAACCATCTTGGCCGTGACGAACGAAGATGGCTATGCGTGGCGGAAGTACGGGCAGAAGGACATCCATGGTGCTGCTCATCCAAGGTCTCAACCTTTCCTCTTTGTTTATTGCAATTATTGAGTCTGGAAAAGGGCAAAGAACAAGTTGCACTGCAGCACTGATGGATGAGAGCCTTGGAATGTCCGTCTGCCATTTTAGATCATGCATGAACAGAGTCTTGTCTTCATGGTGTCTGTGTGAACCGAGCTGCTCTGCTCTTGCAGAAGCTACTACCGCTGCATCCACAAGCACGACAGGGGGTGTCAGGCCACCAGGCAAGTCCAGAAGACGGAGGACGACGCCTCTGTCTTCTCCATCACCTACATGGGAGAACACACCTGCGCGGACGCGGCCACGCTGCCGGTGCAAGTACCACCCTGCGTCATCAGTTTCGAATCGAACACCGCCGGCCAAGGAGTTCCTTCGCTGAAGCAGGAGTGCGACGAGGAAGTGGTGAGCAGTCACTCACCAGCCGACGATTCTTCCTCGGTGTTCCCGGACTTCTCCGCGTTCATGGTGTCCGCTGCTGCGGCCGCGGACCAGTACGACGTCACGTCGGTCTTCAGGTCTTCCACCTGCAGCTTGGACATGGAGTTCGATCCGGAGACGTTCAACTTCGACGGCGTGTTTAGCCAGGGCGATGAGTACATCAGTTAAGAGGGGCGGCTGCTGCTGCTGCTGCTACCACCTCAAGTGTAGTAACATATAATATGAGTTCCTGTACTCTTAAGACAACTTTAGATTAAATATTGCTTCGCAAAAGCACTACATTCCCTTAGTGCGTGTGGATATTTATCTGTGACAACATATTAAAAGCATTACAAAAAATAATCATACATCGATAAACATCGAGTGACTCGGATCCTTACGAGTCTAACTCTCAATCTAATGAATCAAAATTTTTAGATTGAATTGATGTGATTTTGATTTAATGTATGTCAAACCTCTGTGTATGTCTATGTATCAGCAGCTAAAGGAAATCTATTCGATGGATTTGAGAACCGAAAGTTCGCCGTGAAGATAAAAAGGCAGTTTCCTCGACACCGACTCGAGATTATACCCGCGAGTGAGTGGGCCCAATTCATGTTATTTTACATGTAGCTCCCAAAAAAACAAACCTGTCCCGATCTCGGGGCCCGCGGGTGGTGGGATGGGGCGGAGTCCTTCCCGTCACCGCCCCTTCGCAAACCCCATGTTGACCTAAATTAATTTTATCCCTTAAAAATATTAAATTTTAATTAATAAATTAGTGATTAATATTAGAATATTTAAATTATATGTGTTATATTATTATTAATAAATATATTATATATAATTATTTAAAAATATATATATAAATTGAACAAAGATAGATGAGAAGTGTTCTATTCTATCACCATCCAATAATAATTTTAAATAAAAAACTAAAATTATTATTTTCGAAATTAATATCTAAAAAAGTATTATTAAAATTAATTAATGAAAAATAAATTTTATAAAATTAAATATAAGATTGATTTAGTGATTAATATTAGAATGTTAAAATTATATGTATTATATTATTATTATTATTATTAAGGAGCGCTCTATTCTCCGTCCGATAACCGCAGGTGATAAAAAATGCCTCCATCGATGGACGGTGGGATCTTCCGCTTCGGCGAGGCCGTGCCACCGACGCTGCCCTACGCAACCAAGACGCGTCGACCGAAGAGGCCGCCGCCGGCACACAACAGCCTACCATACTTGCCCCCTATCGATCTTCCTTACGCGTCCTCTCCCCCTTCCTTCGATTGGAAGGCATCGGGGAGTTCCTTCCTTCCCACCCCAACCCGCTCCCCTATAAAAAAACTCGGTTTTGGGAGATCCCCATATCTGCATCTCGTCTCCTCCAATCAGACAAGAAAGAACGCTTAATTCCTTTGAGAAGTACTGAGGTAAGCTCTCTGATATCTTGTTCCCCCGATTTCTCTCTCTTTTTTTTGGGCTAAAAATTGGATTTTTTATCGGTTCCCCTTTCTATCATTTCCGGACTTCCTATCAGACGAAGAGTTCTAATCCAACAAACAAGGTTTCTCTGAATTGGTTTCGAGTCTTCTTGTTTGGTTCTGCTGTCATCTGAATCTAGTTTGATCAACTTGTTTCGGGGAAATGGGTCATCACCACCACCACCACCATGAGGGTGGCAGCCCATATGACTATCCCTTGGTGGCCCTTTGCTGCTGCCCGTGCTTGCTGCTGAGCTCCATCCTGAGGGGTGTTGGGAGTTGCATCTTTATAGCCTGCTACCCCGTCCTGCGATGCTTTGGCTTCGACGAGCACTATCATCATCGCCACCACCACCACCACCACCATGATCATTGCTATTGAACAACCGAGCCTCGGTTCTCATGCCTTCAAGTTTATTGCATTTTGACTGTAGAAACCTCTGTGCAATGAGCTTCCTTTTCTCGCAAATTATTATTATTATTATTATTATTATTATTATTATTATTATTATTATTATTATTATTATTATTAGTTCATTATCTTCACGAGAATTGCTATAATAATTGTATGATGATTGGCTTTCGTGGAGTGGATTGACACAGTTAATGTTCTTCTCTATGTATAATTGGATTAAGTACTTCAGGTGCTGTGGAACACATGAAGCATTTCTTCTGCAATCCCATTTGTATAACAAGTAGGCCAGTGAATGACCATTTCTTTCTTGCTATCATAAGTCACTGTTAGAATGGTCCGATACTTGTGGTGCATCTGTTCTATCAGTGTCTTGTATGTATCTTGGTTAGACAACAAGTATAGTCCACACAAGTGCCAGTCCTATTGCAACCTTGTTCTTTTCATCAGCAGATGGTTGCATTTTACCACAGGAGAAAGAGGTAAATTCTATTTTATCTTTGTTCATTTGATGAATCAAAGACCAGAGATTTCAGGTCAAAGTCATCTCTTAAAATCTTTTGAATGGTAAAGCTTTCTTTTTCTGTATTCATGGAGCTTGTTGAACAGCATAGAACACAGTTCTTTTTATTTGTGACTAGAGAGGAAAGATACTTTTTGAAGTCATAGGATACATTTTGTTAGAAAATTGGATGTGCTGATTGCAAGTGTTTCATATAGAACTGTATTTGACTACTTTCTATGTTTTCTGTACCTCTGTGGCTATGCTAAATTACTCAAAAGTGGATCTATCTCAGTTCTCACGGCATTCTTGCAGATAAATTAATTGTGCATTGCAAGTACTGGAAATTTATCTTCTTACACAAGTGTAATATGTTATTGATCATATCTTTGATGAGAGCAAACAAAAAGAGGATGGGGAAGAAAATGCATGCAGCAGAGTCTAACCTTGTGTCAATAGATCTCTTTGTTCTCTGAACTTGACAAACAGTAGTTTCAATATTGATGCATTTATCTAAATCTAATATGCACCAATTGTCATCAGTTTATGACTTAATAATGTCAAAACATATGCAGATATGACCCAAAATACAAGTAGGAGAAAAAAATCCTTCATTTAAGATATCTTTGTGAGTTGCACATATTTTGTCTTTATCTTTCACTTTTCAGTGTTGTTTTTGTTGCAAAATCTAATTTCTTTCTCTCTAGGCTATTAGATTTTCATGTGAGTTACACGTATTTAGTCATTATTTTACTCAAGTGGTATTATTAGATTTTTTTGGCCATTTTTCATTAAAAAATCTCAACTGTTCACTTTTTCCTTGATACATTCTTTTTTTAAAAAATATACATATATAACATTTCTTTTTTTTTAAGATAAAATTATCATGGTCTATGTCTCGTTGTTTTGTCGTTTTTTTCTCATTGCTTTCGTGTGGTCGTCTCTTGCCCATCATTACTAAGACGACGTCATTAAGGTCGGGTCACAAGGACCTCACTCTCGCCTCTTATACTAAAAGAGAGTGCTCCAACTCATTTTCATCCCTCGTTACTAAGACGATGTCATTAAGGTCGGGTCACAAGAACCTCACTCTCGTCTCTTATGCTAAAAAAGAGTGCTCCAACTCATTTTCATCCCTCGTTACTAAGATGATGTCATTAAGGTCGGGTCACAATGACCTCACTCTCACCTCTTATGCTAAAAGAGAGTGTTCTAACTCATTTTCGTCCCTTATCATTGCTCGATTAGGGAGCACAGATGACACCTAACATAGTGAGTGAGCCATATAGGAGAGGAAGTCTTGTTATTGCTACCTCCTTCACCTCTGTCGAGGTCAACAGGATAGAGGTGAGGCCTTAACAATATCTCAATATTGGCTCATTTAACAATTGATCTTTGTCAACCTCGCTCTCAAGTCACACTCAAATGAAGCGTAGCTCTTCGATATCTTGTTGTATAATTTTTATTGTATATCATTTTCTTCACGATATCTTGAATGAAGCATTTTTGTCATATTCTTTAAGAGTAGGTATCTTATATCATCTTACTTTATGATAAGATTTTTTAATATTAATTTTATTTTAGTAAGTTGAGTCATCTTATTTTTTTATTAAATATTTTGTTAAGATAAAATGCATATGTGTTAAAAAAAATTATCGACTTTAGCACAACACTGGGCGCAACGCAGCATAAGTGGTGCCTGTCTTGTTGCTAACGGTTCCTGACACGTGTAACCCTCGCGACCGTGTTACGAACCTCGTGAATCACGTTTCCCGGATATCCGTCCTCAGCACGCGTTCGGACTCCCGTGGGTCTCTACCCATGCTACCTCGCTAGTGGAGCCCACATCTGAGCTCACGCCAACCTCACGTATGACTCCACGTGTCGGGTGAATGATGTGAGCATGGCATGTGGTACCTTACACAAAGAAAGAAAGGTTGACTCGTCTCAACGTTCTTTCACGTACACGTGTACGGATCACATAGCTCAGCTGAGTCATTAATAGGAAATATCTACTTTAACGAACCAAATCTACCCGAATATGAATTGCTATGGAGCCGGACCGAGCTCCACCTTTACAAGACCCAAATAATTGGACCGAGTCGGTCCACAGTCGGTCCAATTGAATTCGAATCGGGTCCAATAGAATTCCGCGCTGATTTGATTAAAGAATTGAATCGGTCAAGTGGGATCTGCGAATACACCCCACCCGACACGATCCGCCCGAGTTGCGCTCCTACGCATCGACACGTGGCAGACAAAAATAAAACATGTGGCGCGTCACGTGGTCACGTGCAACACGTTGCCTGTCAGTAGATCTTGGGACGCACCCAACCCATTCTCCTCATCCCTTGCACTGGGCACCACCATGATGTTTTATGTAATAATAATAAGAAGGGAGGTCGGTTTGTTACTAAATACAAGGGAAGATAGGGAGGGAGCGCTTCCGGAACAGAGGAAGCTGCGACGGCCGCCACGTTGCTGCCGTCTCCTCTCGCACGCGAGGGCTTCTTTACGGGTTCCTCGAGAAGGCGACAAGAATCCCCGACCTCCGTCGCAAACCCTGATTGCGGCCCCCTCGACGGCTCGCATTCGATTTCTGATCCCGTCTTGCGTCGATCGATCGCTTTGCGTTTGCGTGTGGGTTTTGCTCGGCGTTTCGAATCATCGGTGTTGGAAAGGATAGTTTCCGTCGCATCTTGGATTTCTTCCGTGATCGTGCCTTTGAGCTAACCATCGAATCTTTATGCGTGGAATTTTCTTGATTGCTGAGATCTCTTCTTTTTCTTTCCTTTGGGTGGGAGATTAGGGTTCTTTTTATCTTTCTTGAGGGGATTGGTGTAGGGTTTCTTTGTTGTGACCGGTTAATCGGACTAAAGATTCGAGGGTTGCTCGGATTTGTGGGAGAATGGGAGGGAAGCTTGTGTGGCTCCGGGTGGTGTGGGTTTCGGTTCTTCTTTGGGGATCTTGTTGGGGGAAGTTCGTGGTGGAGAAGAACAGCTTGAAGGTGACCTCGCCGGATTCGTTGAAGGGCATCTACGAGTGCGCAATCGGCAACTTCGGGGTTCCTCAGTACGGTGGGACGATGGTGGGGATCGTGGCGTACCCCAAGGCCAATCGGAAGGGTTGCCAGGGCTTCGACAATTTCGACATCTCTTATAAATCCAAACCAGGAGGGTTCCCCACCTTTCTTCTTGTCGACAGAGGGGGTGAGTCTTAATGTTATGAGCCCTAGAAAAAAAATCGTGTGTGTTTTATCTATGTGTTTGGACTCTTTCAAATCTTGTCAAATGTAGTGATTTTTCTTTGTGTGCATGCATCTTCTTTTACTGTTTGTTTTCTTGAGTTTGTAATGTGTTGGAGTATTTTAAGATTATAGAGCTTTCGTACCTGGAGATATTATGTTCTAACTCTGAACACAAATGGAATAAAAATCCGAGGGCAAGTCTCCTATCCAGGACAAGTAACATCGGTTGACCCACAGCATGGTTGCTAACCAAATTGTTGCTTCATTGTTTCTTGCCTATAGATATGGGATGATTAACCTCTTCAAATCTAGAAGAAGTTTCGTACAACATTCACAAGATACCAACACAGTTATATTATTTTCTTGAAATCTTTGCCAAGGTACATTCATCAATTTCTACCTTGATTCTTCACACCCCATTTCTTATTGCCTGTTCCAATCATTTCTTGACAGCTCAAGGTTACAGTACATGCTTAGTTTATTTTGATTTATTTTGAATGAATTTGCTCCACTCAGAATGCATTTACAATCACCAGTGCCCTTTTCTGATAAGAGAGGCTGCACCGCCTTCTCCTAGCTACTGATTCCACAATCCATCTACATTTAGTTTATACCAGCCCATTACAAGAATTTGACATGTCTAAAATTTACCTTTAGACTCCTTGGATTGAACATAGTTCATCGTAGATGCAACAGCTCTATACAGTATACACCATACAAAAAAGACAAACTCTTTACCCATGAATGAAACCTCATTTTGCACTTTCCATATCAATTAAAGTGTGCAAGCAATGCGGGTTTTGTTCTGGAATGTCTTCTAATATTTTTCGATATCAGTACTAGTGATAACCATCTGATACCTTTGTTTGATTTTTTTCAGGTCCAGTATGTTGCATGGATATCATTAACTAATGATCTATTAATCAAATGAATTTTGTTTATACATGTCCTTCTATTATATCTTTTGCTAATTTCTGTGGCCATTGTTATTTACTAATTGGACTTGTGTCATACTGATTGGATGATCCTTGGTTGTAAAGTGGATACAGATAAGTTATATTTAGGATGCATTGAATTTAGATTGGTGGGGTAATTGGAAATATATTTATGGGAGGCTTGTGCATGGGGCCACTCTCTTTAGATTGGCAATGCATTGAATTTAAGGTTTTAGCAAACCTGGATGCAACACTTCAATACTTTCTTCAGTTTGCTTGAGGGTGGGCTCGGTTCAATGTGAAGGTTGTTCCTATAAGATTTGTACATCACAGGTTTAAGTAGCAAAAGCATCCTCTCCTATTCTGGGGTAAGACCACAAATATCTTATCTTATTAAGAGGCCCTGGTGATGGAGCCTTATGCTTTAAGAGTTACCCTTTGTCATTTTGTTTGAATGTCACTCTGAACATTTGGCTTCATTATGTACAGTCGCCAAACATTCCTTTATTATTTTAAAAAACAAAAAAGTAAAGTAGTCATGTAATATGTTTTGAAAGCATCATTATTACTTTTACAAGTTCACTGAATCATGCATTCATTTGACTGTGCATGCAGGGCTGAGAAGAAAAATTTATATTTAATGAAACAATGCCCTGAACTAACTTCTATTGAGTTATTCTTTTGTTGTGAACAGATTGTTACTTTACAGCAAAAGCATGGAATGCACAGAATGCAGGAGCTGCTGCTGTCCTTGTTGCTGATAACAAGGCAGAACCTTTGATAACAATGGACACACCTGAGGAGGATGACAACAAGGCAGACTATCTACAGAACATAACAATTCCTTCAGCACTCATCAGCAAAAGCTTTGGAGATAGCTTAAAGAAGGCAATTGAGAATGGCGACATGGTTAGTGTCAATTTAGATTGGAGAGAATCTTTACCCCATCCTGATGATCGTGTAGAATATGAATTTTGGACAAACAGTAATGATGAATGTGGCCCCAAATGTGACAGTCAAATACAGTTTGTTAAGAACTTCAAAGGAGCAGCACAGATACTAGAGAGAAAAGGTTATACCCAGTTTACCCCGCATTACATTACTTGGTATTGCCCTGAAGCCTTTCTTTTGAGCAAGCAGTGCAAATCCCAGTGTATCAACCATGGGAGATATTGTGCACCCGATCCCGAACAGGACTTTAGCAAAGGTTATGATGGGAAAGATGTCGTGGTCCAAAACTTGCGCCAAGTCTGCTTGTTTAAGGTTGCTAATGAAAGTGGGAAACCTTGGCTATGGTGGGATTATGTGACTGACTTCGCAATACGTTGTCCTATGAGTGATAAGAAGTACACAAAAGAATGCGCTGAAGAAGTAATCAAATCACTTGGTGAGATGAACATTTTTCTTTGGTGTGTCATTTGATGAGGCTCATTGTTGGTTAAGGGAATCAGGATTTCATGATTGACTATTACATTTTCCTTAATGTGTCATTTTTTCTATAAAACTAATGTGATATATATTTTTTTTCAGGCATTGATCTGAAGAAAATAAACCAATGTATGGGGGATCCTGATGCAGACGAAGAGAATGCAGTTCTTAAAGCCGAACAAGATGCGCAGGTTAAGGCATTGCATTGTCTTTTCCTTATTGATCTCGCAATTTGTCTTCATTCGCATAATACTGTTTTGTATCTAATGCCTATTCTCAGATTGGAAAGGATTCCCGTGGTGATGTTACTATTTTACCGACTCTTGTTATTAATAATAGACAATATCGAGGTAATTGTTTTAAGCATTCATCTGGTGCCTTGTAACAGTTTGCTCGCATTGACTTTTTATCATTTCTTTCTTTTATCAGGTAAGCTGGATAAGGCTGCAGTGCTGAAAGCAATCTGCGCCGGTTTCCAAGAGACAACTGAGCCAGCTGTTTGTTTGAGCGAAGGTATTATTAGAGTTTCTTGTGATAATTGATATAAAGTTGCTATCTTTAACATTTTGCAAATGGAGATTAGATTTGAAATGAATTTGTGTTTAACATATATGGTTTTACAATACAGATATAGAAACAAATGAATGTCGGGAGAACAATGGTGGATGTTGGCAGGATAAGGCCGCTAATATTACTGCATGCAAGGTACTCATTCTTGTACCATCAAGTTAATATCCACAACAGGTACAGACTTTTACATTTCGTTGATCCGGTTCTATTATCTAATTTTATGCAGGATACTTTCCGTGGAAGAATATGTGAGTGCCCGGTTGTGGAAGGTGTGAAGTTTGTTGGTGATGGATACACTCATTGTGAAGGTACACAATCTGTCATTTTAATGGAAAATGTAGTGATATTATAGAATTCTCATTGTGGCCAAGATGTTGGGAACAGTTTAGGTATGCTTCAGTTACACAGGTTTGGAGTATTGCTAAAATGCTAGCCAAGAACATTGGATCTGAAAATGTCTCTTTATAACTTTAAATTTTCATCGTTTTTCTTTCTGGTTTAGGTATGCTTCACCTATGTAGGTTTGGAGCTTTGCTAAAATGTTGGCAAGCAACATTAGATCTGAAAATGTATCTTCATAACTTCAACATTTCATGGTCTTTCTTTCCAAGAACATATTAATCTTTTTTTACCATAGATATTCAAACTGGCTGAGTGTGTAATTTATTTAGATGAAAAAAATGTTAGCAATTCTTGTTGTATGAGTTAAGATATTCAAGCAATGTGCCATGATTATCCAGAAAAGAAGGTTATGAGAATCTGCGGATGGTCACAATTAGGTTTGTAACAGGTTTTGTACTCCGTTGATATTTAATGTTACTTTCCATAACAGAAAGTAGTTTAGTGTCGGGTGCAAAAAATGATGAAACATTATGTTTTCAAAGTTCTTGTTTAGCTATTTGATTTGGGCTTTAAAATGTCAAGTGGGTTTCAGGACTTCTTTTGGAGCATTTGTTTATCTAATCTCATATATATTATATATGGGTGGACTTTCTGGGAAAGGAGGGAAGAAGATCATCGATGTCGATGATCATTTAAAGATCGATTAACCTTTTAATCATTAAAGTGAATTGTAACACCACAACATAGAAAATAATTTACTTATCTATTACATGTTGGAGAATTGTAACAAATCATCTACGAAAGTGTACTCATCTATTACATGGACGAGGTTTTGATCATCCATTGTATGATCATGATCTTCATGGTTTCCTATTTTTCCTGCTTTTACTTGTTTGTTGACTTTGAAAACTTTCTGTCGGGTTTGCTTAATCTTTCGATAGTTTTAAGTAAATCAGGTACCCTTATATCTTGGAAATTGCAACAGATGACTATCACAGTTTAGCACCTCTGATTTGTAGTCCACAATCTTGCTTGTCCTATAACCGTATATCGTGATCCCTGTGGTTGCCTGTTTTTATGTAGTTTTTAATTATTACTTATCTTTTGTCTAGAAGGATTCTTTAAAAGGTTCTTGTAACGATCAATTACTAACGATCTGATTCTCCTTTCTTCGTATTTGTAACGATCAATTACTAAGTTTATTGGATTCAATTTGAATGAAGAAAACAATACATCCATTATAACAAGCATAACCATGAGTTATTTAGTTGAGACTTTTATGGATACATGTACATTTTCTGTTTCAGCTTCAGGATCTGGTCGATGTGAAATCAACAATGGTGGATGTTGGAAGAAATCTCATGAGGGGAAAACATACTCTGCTTGTGTGGTAAGTGATTTAATAATGTCATTTTCTTGTGTTGATCTTTTGATCAGAATCTGAGCAGCAGTGTCAACATGCAGGATGAGGGATGCAAATGCCCACTGGGTTTTAAAGGTGATGGAGTTGACAAGTGTGAAGGTATTATCTCCAAGATCCTCTATGTTGGTTTTGAGATATTTGAGCTGTACATGGCTTCATATCATGCCTTTTAAGGTGCTGTTGGTAAAAATCAGTCGTTCAGTTTTTTGATCCTTCCGTTTTGGCTCATTTACTTAAATGTATTTCAATTGCAAAAAAAAAAAAATCTTGGAGTCCATTTGGTATAATCAGTCATGTTTAGGGTTGCTTCTGTTTTGACTCATATATTGTTTAATACTTTTAGGAAGCTCAAGAGGTGCGACAATGTAGTTATTTTAGTTCTCTAATTTATTAGCATTTCTAATCACGTTTTGTTCCAGATGTTGATGAATGCAAGGAAAAGACAGCCTGTCAATGTTCTGGCTGCAAATGCAAGAACACTTGGGGTAGTTATGAGTGCAGCTGCGGTGATGATTTATTATATATAAAGGAGCATGACACATGCATAAGTGCGTATATATAACCCCTTGTCGGTAATTCTTTATTTTCTTGTTATCTTTTAGCTTTTACCCCAAGCACACGAGGAACATAAGGCACACCTGTTTTCAGTTATTATGGGTCACTCACAAGAAATAAGAGGAAAAACTTGCTTTTGCTAATTTACTTTATAGGCTTTAAAAATTGGAGCTAGTTTTCACAAGTACCAATATGAAGTTGTCTGTTTCAAAATGTTTATTATTGCATTAAAAATATATCCAGGTAAGAAGCCTTCCACAGAGGTCGGCTGGAGCTTTTTGTGGGTTATCTTCTTTGGCCTGGTTATCGCTGGAGTCGGAGCTTATGCTATATACAAGTACAGAATCCGGGTAAGGTCCTTTAAGATTCTTCATAGATGTGTTTCTTTTATCGAGCCTTTATTTTATCAAGAAAGCCGTTTCTATACCCTTGGGTTCTCGGTATATTGCACTGACTGCAAATGGTATGAGCCTTTCTTTTATCATAGTCTCTGGGTTGGTTGGTTAAAAGAGAGGAGCATTATTAGATGTATACTTGAATCTCTAGATGTATACTCATATTACTCTTCTATTTTTATTTTTCTTTCTCAGAGTTACATGGACTCGGAGATCCGGGCTATCATGGCTCAGTACATGCCACTTGACAATCAAGAAGCACAAAACCACATCCACCACGGTGAAATCTGAGGCTAAATTTGTTGCATAATTTCTTTTTATAAAGAAAGCTTATTATACTAGAAAAATGTGGCTCTCTTTCCGGCAGAGATTGCTTTGGTTGTTGATCCTTAAACCGCCAGGGAGTCAGTGACACCTTTCTTGTAAAGCTGAATCTTATTAACGCACAGCCATTGTATTTGGAAACTGGTAGGATGATAATTGCAATTCGCATGCCTGCGATGCTGCAGTTGGATCTCTTTTCGGTCCAAGTGGTAAAAATCACATGTAGAGCATGCAACTCCGCTTACATGGTACTGTTGCTACAGATTTTAGATGATAATTGACTGCTGAAGCTTTGTGTTGAGGTTTCAATTGCTCGACGGTACATTGTCGTGGGAATACCATGATTTTTTTATTCTTCATTTATCAAAACATTTATAATTTTTCAAACATTGTTTTTTCAGTAAATTTATTTTTTATAAAGACACTTTTTTTTTTTTAAGGATGAAAAGAAAAGAAGTACAAAATGATGACAGATGGAACATATATGAGAATGCGAATTACTCCTTCCGAATCAGGTTGACGGAAGAGCAGGCGAAGGAAGAGATTAATATTGGTCACCTTCACCAATCTGTAATTGCGAACAAGAAGCTGCTCAGAATGGTGGAAAAGGGGTTCAAATTACCAAAGATTGAAAAGAAGAAAAAAGAAAATTACCACCAACTCTCTGAACTCTGTTCCACGCTTGGGACCCTCACGATGATCAATCACGAACCTATAGGCATAGAAACCTACCATTGCACCACTATTTACCAAAACAAAATCGTTATTGAAAGTAAAAACAGATTATATCGAAAAAATCAGCTTTAATGCAGAAGCAGACTGAATGCCATATTAACAAAATATCTTTCTAGACCAGGAAGTCAAAGCAAAATATTAAACTATGATAGAAAAACAATATCATAAATTTCCAACAAACATCGTTGTGTCATCATCCAAGCTTAAAAACCAGGTGGGCTAAACCCTCAAACAAATTGAGTTAATATACTAATAATATTGGACTCATCAGGACATGATCACAACTTGATCCATGTATTGCAGCAACCATTGCTCTAATACCATTTATTTATTACAAATCAGAAAAACTATATGGACTAAACCCCCTGAAATTGTTTGTTGTACTTGGAAGATGATCTTTTTAAAGCAGGCAGAAAGAGTGATATGGAAGTAATCGGAATGTTACATTCAGATATGAAGAAGAACATTCACAAATACAATCGGAATGTTACACTGAATCACATCTTCATGAAACTATGTGTGTTTTTCCTAAGACGACAAAAGGTATTTGAACTAAGATGTAATAAAATTATTATCTGGAGTTTCAATGTTATGGGCCATGTGATGCAATTCTATTGTTAAGAACAGAGATATGGAGAATACAGAATAATTTTCAATCCAGTTTAGATAGTTTGTTGTACTAAAAGTATCCAACAATTCTAAACTTTTTTAATAAAGGCAAGTGGTTCTGATATTAGAAGAAGAAAACAGGTGATGAATGATGGAAAAAGAAAAAGAAAAAGAAAAAAAAACCAAATATAAAGTTCTTAAGCTTACTAATAACCTGATAAGAACTGTCAGAAGGCTTGAAAATGAACCCCTCTGCAATTTTGAAAAATAAATCATCAGAACTCAGCAAAATTTCGCATCAATCTCAAAACAACACAATCATCTAAATGTTCTCGGCAAATCTTTCAATTTGTGCATGACTAAAGGAACTTTTACCTCAGAACACAACAACCACTGCCTGCAGAATATAATACTGGAAATTGCTGCAGCATCAGAGCTATCGTTAGTAGATGTGATTGTAAATCATGGCAACCAACAAATATCACATAAAAATCGAAACAAGGTTTCAACAAAAAAATGACGAGAATGATTATTTATCTTATTAGCAACATATTACCCTTGCACAAACTCCAACATGGTCATTAGGTTTCTTCATAATTCAAGGTTCTAACCATTAAATGTAAGTGGTAAAAGAATCACGGTCCTTGACATAATTCATGAAACTTCACTAATCCATGCTCCTCATCCAAGATACAGTACCTCCTTAGCTTACCAACCTTTTAATAGATTTGCTACTCTAAGTGTTTCCCAAATTCTGTTATCTCTTGTTACATTAGAGGAAAAATAAAAAAGAACATTGCAAATCTTTAAAGACCATTATGGGAACTTCATATTCAGAGTCACAAGAAAATCATCAACTAAGATTCCCACTTTATAGGCAGTAAATGTGCAAATTCCAATTCATTAATTCAGGCCTCTTAGTTAAAACCAAAGAAAACAAGAATCACAAAAAGGAAGAGATTATAAATTTCCTGACTGTTTGCTACCCGTTGGCAATACTGCAAGGGCAACTTCACATACGTTAAGCCATATTTAAGGCTTGAATCTGAATATGAACAAAGCATGGGAACCATACTTGGTTGGAACAGACTAACCAGTTTGCCCTATCAAAAGAAGTGAGGTTTCTTTCCCATTCTTCCATGACCTCAAGCTTGACACGCTCAGAGCCAAAATTGCAGTGCCAAGTATAACACCAAAACGAATGGCAGGAATGCTTCCGGTTAGCATGAAATAAATGAAACCACCAACGGCAAGAAAGGAACCTAAACAAAATTTGAAGAAAATAAAACGGCCATAAAAGAAAAAATAAGTTCTGATGAAACTATTAACTGATCAAGAAAATAGAACACTAACAAAGATAATAAAAAGAATGCCCACAGAAGTCAAATATATGAACACATCTTCATACATACCATATGGAATTCCAAGGTAAAAATCTCTAATGGCAGACGTGTTCTTCAAGTCACTTGGTGATGCATAAATTTCCAAAATGTCTCTCAATGAGTCAGGAGAATTCTTCGCTGCTGCTGAAAAATATTCTTTTCCTTCTTTTGAAAATTCTTTGGCTATTATTCTCAAATCATCCCGTGCTTTATCAGCTTGGATCTTGAGCTTCTCAAATGTATCCATCAATATTTCTATTGCTTTCTTTGAGTAAATCCCATATGCTCCTTCTGATACGGCCATGACTTTCAGGGCTTCAGTCATGAATCGTTGTAGTGCCTTCTTCCATGTTTCTTGTGATGCCCCAGCTCCTTTCTCCAATTCAATATCTGAACGATTCTACATTGGAATTAAGACACAAATTAGCATCTCTTGGCATATTAAAAATAATCTCAGAGGCACATAAACAAAGGTGGATGCGTACAAATTGGAAGTGACAATTTAAATGATGAGATAACATTCCTTTATATTTGAAATAGTATCTAAATAAATAAAATTTGTTGAACTTGAGCAAAATCTTTCAGATTAAGCCAATTCTGAAGGCATTGAAAGAAATTTTTTGCATTCTTGAACTTGTAACTGTTACTTTTCTGGTTTTCTTTTACCCATTTACTCACAAACCCTGTATACCCTTGTATCTGTTAGTCTTCTTGAATTCTTTTTCTTGCAACTGAATGCAAGAATCTTCTCAATCATCTCAATTGACTGAAGATCTGCATCAACTCCACCAGCATTCTTAGACATCGGAGCAGTCACAGCCTACTAACCCATCACAAGATCTCCAGACGCTCCCAACAGAAAATTCAGTCTCCAGGAAGTACCAGGCACACAGAGAAAATTCAATACCCGTTGCTCCGACCGATCAAGAACGAGAATACAAGATAGTGCACAAAGAGGTGGATTGCTATGCCTCACCTGTTCCTCGCGAGAAGCCGCGAGAGGAATGATTTTCATCGACCGCCGATCCACGGACACGAGGCGAGCTCCCAACCGTCTCTTCGAGAGCGGGGAATGGGCCGGACCCAGGAAGCAGGGGGCGACGACCACCGGGAAGGAGTCGGCGCCCGGTCGGATGCCATAAATATCAGGGTCAGGGCGTCGGAGGGGAACCAAGCCTTGGAGAGAGGCGGCCATTGGCGACCTCGGAGGGAGATCGAAACAAAGAAAGAGGAGGAGAACGAAATAGCGGAGAGACCGAAGCAAGAAAGTAACCGCCTCCCTCCGTCTCGCTTCGAGAATTCTAGCTTGCATTTTATACACGTCAGCTCCCCCAAGCGCTTTTGCGTCATTTACCTGAAATTTCTTCCGCCGCAACGCGTACCTGCCGCGTGACTGGAGGCAACAGTGGATCCCGCATCATCCGAAGCCAAAATTCTCCGCACCCCGATTACACCGCCTCATAATAAGCTGCCCCAGCGACACTCGACGGGTCCCGCCCGGGCCCCACACTTGCACAAAGCTTCACGTGTAGCGTACCCGGAAACAGACCAACACAGGTGGAGAAAACCATGAGATGCACGTAAAGAACTAATACCCTCACCGCCGCCGTATCCTCCGAAGGGCGAAGCAAAAGCACATATGCCAGTGTCACCCAAACAAGGCAGACATGGAAAGCACAAAGTGTCGGGGGAGATAACATCTGCACCTTTGGCATTTAAGCTCTACAACTCTCGCAACGCAACCGAATTGTCTAAATGTCCTCCCCAGAATCAACATTTTCTCCCAGACTTACAAACCGACCCTCCCTGAAAGCACGAAACCACAAATGAGTTCTACCAAAAGATAATTTCTATAATAATGACAATAAGATTCGGGTTGATCCAGATGACGCCTCGCGCCTCTGTTAACTTGACAGCACCTGGTCAACACAGACCGGAACGCCGACCGAGGCACATTAACATCCTGCTCAGACTCGGTCCTTCACGCCACGCCAACGTCGATGTCAGATGTTACCAGGAGTACGATCCTGCTCCCTGCAAGCGGACACATCAAGCAACGGTAACCTTCACTATAAAAACCCTCGCGCTCCGAGGAAAAAGATGAGGACAACAAAAAAAACCCTGCAACTATTCACTAACTTGATCGTTGCAGGGGTCGGGCCGAGCTCTCCCGACCCGACTTGTGTGCAGGTGCGAAGACGGAGGCCTCCCACTAAATGCCCAGGCGAGGAGCCCCCTCCCGGAGGAAACGGTGACCCCTTCACGATCGGACCACCGCAGTCGGTCTTCTACAGTCTCGAGGGTCGTCCCAGGAAGATCCCCCATCATTCGGACCCGAACCAAGCCGCGTCGGCCCCGAGGCCACGACTTAAAGTTGTTTACACTAACAGAAGTAACTCTATACAAAAGCAACAATTAATTACATTGTGAGATGCTTGCTTGCAGAGAAGGAGTACCTTGGAATGAGGCCTCCAAAGACAACATTCCAAATGTTCCTGAAGTTTGGAAAGGTGAAAAAAATTAACCTCTTACTCTTGTCACCATCACCTTACCATGAAACAAAAATGAACATGGCAAGATAAGAGCTAAATTTGAAGGGGAAAGTGAGTAAATTACTCAGGCAGGAGACGAACTGCTCGTTTCACACTTGAATTTTGTCACATCGTAGTTGTCATTGGAGAAGAGAGGCTGGATCTGAAATAGTTACAAGATATCAAAGATATTTAGCTCGGTCACCCACAATAAAAATCATAATAGAAAGTAGATTGTCGATACATAATTTCCTGAAAGATATAAAATTAATCAATCAAAACCTAGATGGCAAAGGAGCAGACATGAGTTCACCAAACCACAAATCCAACCCAAATAATCAGGGATCTAAAGGAAAAGTTTCGGCAATGAAGATCATCTTAAGTTTTCTATATCACTGGAAACCATCATACAAAAAATTTACTATGACATAGCATAATGCAATCTGCAAATTCAACCATGTTGGAACACAATATTTGCAGATTTTTAGCAAGACATTTTACGATATGGATTCGGGTTCAACCATCTAAAATTAGTCTTGATAGTAATAGCAACTGGCCTATTGTAGAAGGAATTCTATCTCTATCAGGAGTCCTACAGGTATCGGAAAAAGATATTCATATCTCAATGAAAACATGCTTCAAGAGCAGAGCTTAAAATATTATACATCTGTAGGGACATTAATTGCTATAAGATTAGCATCAATATGGTCTAGAAATATTCTCCTAATTAAATAACCATGATGCTATAACTAAAGATCATCCCACACAGAGTTGCAGATTCCTCTCTTGTTTCTGGATCTAACCAATCCATCTGGGCCTCATATGGTGCTATCCATATGGCTTGGAAGGTCATGCAACAAAGGAGAGTTGCCCTTCCATAACTTCTTGGTGACTAATATGGCTGCCAAACCCTTAACCTTTGGGTAAATAAGGCTGTTGACTATTATTAGCGACAACAACACTCTACTACATCTTGCCTAAACCAATACAGGGCCAAAGACTTCCATCATACATAGGCAGCCACCTAGTTCGTTTAGTGAAGGCTGAGGCTATCTGTGTGCATTTGCAAGGGCGTCTACCACTTTCTTTAAAAGAATAAAAAACCATGTTCCACACTGATCACCTGCAGAGGGGTTCTATCGACTAAGCACTACATGCAACTGAGCCATCTTACCTTCACAAGCACATGCATTAACTTATACACAAGTGCACATTTGTAACTAGTTGCATCGAAGAAATTGTTGCATGACATTGCCAAAAGTGCACATCTAAAATGCCAAACTAGTTTTTATAATCAAATCACCAATCCCACAACTTAGTCTACCATTGTTCCAGTCATAGCTATTAGCAAAATACAAATTCAGCTACTCCCAAGTAAATTACAATGCCTCATACGACTAAAAACGGAGATCCAATAAAAAAACATAATATAAGACATACTTCGACAAATTAGTAAATTAGTATACAGTTTTAAATGAATTAAACATACTAAAAACAATAAACTGCTGAAAGCACAACAATCTTAGCCCCCGAGGATTCAAGCCTATTGCCTAATAACACAGCCCTTAGCTTCACATTCTCATTCAGACAATTGAGTGCGCAAGGCATGCATCAGTTTCACTGGGGAAGCTAATTGCAAAATATACCCAATTCACCGCCAAACACCAAAATTTAAAGATGTAATGATGAGAATCATACAAATGCACGAGACGTATTTTTCACTCAACATCTTTGTGAATACTTCACCGTCAATATCATTAGATAAGAAGTTTACCTTATTCTCACTCAAAGGTGCCAGTCAACTTAGCTGGTAAAACCTTGACAGTTTATCGCACGATCTTGGGCTCGAATCTGTACCTTTGTCACTTACCTTTTGGCCCACGCGTGCGCGCGCGCACACACACATATAATATATATATATATATATATAGAGTCTATTTACAAATATAAATATATATTTATATTTATATTTGTGAATAGACTCAAGATATTGAACCTTCAATGCTTTCGCTTGAGAAATTATTATGTACAGTTATAATCAATGTAATTTCCATGCCTACCCAAAAATAACTTTTCGCCATGTAACATAGACTAGTCGATATAACTTCAAATTCACTATAATATAAAACATGCAGTCATGAATGTTTATTTGCTAAAAAGTAGACAGCTACCAGCAGATATCTCCCACTTTTTGCTGTATAGTGTCTTCTATGAAGGAACACACATAAAACGCATCACCAAACACAAGGAACAACTATAATTTTTCACAAGCATAAAATAAAAATATAGATTACTCTTTCAGGTTATAACAAAAAAAGAAAATGCAGCAAAATTTTGTTGTGGGGCAAATGAGTAGTGAGACAGCTTCGATTGCTCGACAAAATTGTCAAAATCTACAGTCAACTGCCACCATTGAGTATTCAGCAATCATCATTGCTGAAAATTAAGCATGCTGATGACCTTGGTGGCACAGATTAGCAGAGGAAAGCTTTTTTTTTTCCAAAAAGTTTCAAATTCTGGAGTCTGGAGACTGGACCACATTACTGACATGTAGGAAAATCAACTCGTGATGGATCTCCAAACTTCCACCAAGAATTAATAGTGGACAAATATGCACACTTGAATTTGATGGAAACTAACTCAAAGAGGCAAATGCAGTCTCCCATACTTCGTTCCACCAGCGCAAGAAAACATCCAAGTATACAAAAGCTTGATAAGTATCTGTATCTTCAAGCACAGATTGGACATCAATGAAATTAAGCAATGGCACACGCAATTTTTCTCAGAAACAATTAGGATGGGCCAAACCAATTTACGAAGAAAATAGATTGCGATATCTCACCATCTATTCAAGAAAACACATAAGAATAGCCAAGTGTGTATATCTAATTTTATTTGAAGAAATAATATGTAAAAGCAGTTCCATTGAAAGCTCCTATAGTGCAATTCTGCCAACAAAAAAGAAAGCATTGAGCACTCAGAATTCCAAATTCTCATTTTGCCTCTTTGACTACTAATTCCAAAATGAAACAAAGTAGATGAATTAGCATTTTCTCTACCAAACCTAAACATAGGTCAAAGCAAGCAACGAAATCAAAGTTAAATATAAGTTTCATTTGGCTGATAATGCTGACACAAATTAGCGAAATCAAAACAGTTGAAGGATCTTCATATTGTTCGATGAGATTAGGGAAACAGTTCAGAACCACAATAATTGGAAATACTCAGACGAAAAATCTTGGGAATCAAATTTTTAAGTGGCGAAGGACATGGAAAAGATAAGGCACAAGCTAACAGACATCAATCAAGAAGCCATAAACTATGCATTTTTTCAAGAAGCATCATCATGAAGGAGAAAAAGAAAGAACCCATGATACCAAGAAAATTGAGAACATCAAACGAGGACTGGATTCGGAGGAAAGAATTCCTCCTTCTCCACTTAAAGAAAAAAGAGGAGACACATAAACCCTATACGAAATGAAAAGAGAAGACTAACGGAATCGAGAGAAAGGCGACGGATTTGTTGCGGTCGGGAGCGACACCGCCGCCGTCCAAAACCTTCGACTCGGGCTCTTCTTGATCGCGGCGACTTCGAGCTCTTCCTTCTTTCCACGAACAGGGTGGGTCTGACACCGTTCCACCCGAACCCGACACGCGCTCGGCGCACCCGTGATGAACCGGCGTGCCCAACCGGACCGAGAACCAAGTGTAATATATAACGTGAACCGCGCGGGTCTAAGACGGCCACGTGGCTGATGATTGTCGTTTTTACATTTCTGACCTTGCAGCGTCATGAAATGACATATTTAACGTGGCCTAATATATAGCTCATATCTCCTTCCCATTAACATCCATTTAATACATTTAAAATTAATTACATAATACTTACCAACAAGATTTTGAAAGACATTAATAATTTACTTTGGCAGACCATATGATGATAATGTGTGCATAAATGTTCAAGTAGAGGATTATATCATCATTAATTGGATAGAATAGCCAACTCATTAATTTATTAAAATAAATCAACTAAATTTGATGCCTGTTAATTCAAATCCTTATCCATGTGAAACAAATCTACAACATGTAAAGACTAAACTTGAGTATCTTACAAGTTTTGCTTTAAAATATTATTATTTTTATTTATTACATTAAATAACAGAGAAACCTATCAATCATACAACAATACACTCACCAACCATTCATCAGAGAAACCTGATGAATGCAGGAGTAAAGGAATGAAAAGAGCAACACCACATCAATGAAGAGGGGATTCATATGTCAGTCAGGGAACTATCATATCACTGCAATGCACTTCTGCAGCAGGACAAAGAAATGAACCAAATTCCATACAGAAGATAACATGCCACAAAGTGAAGTCACATTGAGCTGCTGTCCATTTTGAGGTTTCGGAAGCTCATGGTGATGAACCTCAAAGCAGAATCACAGTTTCATCAGGCAGTCTTAGCAGAAGACAAGCAGATCTAAATTATATACAGAGGCTGAACAAAGTCCACTCTGCACTTCACCATAACAGAGAACTAACTGATTGGTTCCAATCATAATGCAAGGCTGGCACTGATCTTTTATCTACAAATAAATTGTAACCCTTTTCCCTACTGTTGAGTGGTAGACAGGTAGTATACCATGTATTCATATAGCACGCCAAAATCACAAAATATATAAGGCACAAAAATAAAAAATAAGAAGAAAAAAATATGGACAATTAAAAACCTTCAACTCTAGGCCTCGGCAGCGTAGGTGAGGGTGGTTTCCTGCTGCTGCTGCTTATCCTATTATCTTCTAGTGAAACTGTGGTAGAACAGCTTCGTCGCGGAAGTGGGATGGACAATGAAACTCTTGGGGACGATAGTGGTTGTGGCGGCGATGGTGAGAAATTTGTTGGTGGTGGTGGTGTGGGGATGATGATACCATTTATGCTTTGAGACTTTAGCATCTGTTTTCCTGAAACAACGGATGGCTCCTGAAGAGGGTAGCGGCTAGGGTATTTCATGTCTTGGACATTCTCCAGTGATTCCACGATGGTCCTCATGGTGGGCCTCTCCGAAGGATCCTTCTGAAGGCATTTCAGTGCAATGTCTGCAACAGTTCGGGCAGCTTTGGAAGGGAACCGTCCTTTGATGCGGGGATCCATGATAAGCGACAGGCGGCAATCATCATCAAGAAAAGGTCTACTCCACTTCACAATGTTCCGTTCTTCTTTAGGATATCGGCTGTCAAGATTCCTCCGGCCGGTCAGCAGTTCAAGAAGGACAATTCCAAAACTCCACACATTGCTCTTAGGAGTCAGCAACCCTTTCTCCAAGGTCTCCAATGATAGGCAAGCCTGAATGAAGATAAAAGAAACATCTCATTGAAGGTGTTCATGTTCACATATTCTCATCATGTTTACCTATTAAATAAACAAACAGAATCCTGTTGAAATAACTCTAATTCTCCTAACATAACATTTTGTTTCCATCATGCACGACCTAAATCATTTGATATCATAAATTTGATTCAAACATTGAAGAAAAATATGGTAACTGTAGTTCCACTTCATGTTGCAAGATGGCTCAGCCTACTGGTAACTCATTTTGTTCAAATTTCTAAAGGGCAAGTCTGCATTAGATAAATTTACCAGTCAGGGCATATCCAAGTACAAATTACTCAGAACAGGTTCAACGGACCACTTACTTGACAGTAAAAAATGTTCTACAGCAGAGGAATGCATGTCATCAGGTAAGCTGCAGATGAGAAGCTAAAATATTACAGGAACTAAAAAGCAATTCACCAACCGATGATTAGAAAGTCTGATGCTGTAAGAATTTTGAATGGGACAGTTTCTACCGGCAGACACCAGAGCGTACTGCCGGTAGTTTTCAGATGTTCATCCCTATCCCATAGAAATAAGCCATAATGAAGAAACTTATAATCAGAAACCATATAAAAATATTGGATGTGTATATGCAGTAGGTGATATAAAAACGATTGGCTTGTACCACATGAAATTAGGTTAGGTCAGCCACCAACCATCCCCCAGTGCATTTGAAAAAATTGGTAATATCATTCTGATAAATACATATTACTTGGCAGCATCTAATCCTTTTCATGGAACAAGACACATTTTGATTGGCTACTGTGCATATAAAGTAAATCACTTACAATAGAAGAACTTGAAATGCTTGTCTCCGGATTGTAACAGACACATCCGTATCCTGATAGCTTCGCACTGAAATCCTTGTCAACTTGTATATTTGATGTTGAAAACTCATGGTACATGGCCTGATAAAATTAAACAAACATGTCACTCAGAGATATCACAAAGCATAACACCAAACCACTCTAGAGATTCTTAAAACATGATAGATGTCAAATGCAATCCAAGACAGACTACAGCAGTTTGTTGATTCAAGATGAACCATTTTCAACAAGTGTACTAATCGGATCTGTTATGAATTGTTCCACATCTATAGTTACTCTATCAGAGATTGTATCCACAAAAGTTCTCCGAGCTTCCATGTTTTGAATTTCCCTTGATTGCAGATACATTAAATAATGATTCTCTTGTACTAGTAGAACGAAAAGATGAATGAACAAGATAGTGGTCATCAACGTCATAAATTTCATATCATCCTCATGAGATTGTCTATGGAGTATTAAAATAATTTTGTTTATGCAATAATTTCATGATATTAATCATCTTCTTGAGGCAGTCAGTCCCACAGAAGAAATGAAAATTTTCAAAGTTCCCACCAATGGACAGAAATGCTCAGCTTACATACTTGAGTTTTGACAATCTTAAATTGCATAAAAAACATGTCAACGACAAATTTGGTTCACCTGAAAAGGGCCTTCTTCATGTAAAAATGCAAGACCTCTTGCAGCACAGAGAGCCACTTTCATCCTTGTACACCAACCGATGGATGGACCATCTGATCTTCCATGAAGCAGCCGATCTAAACTTCCATGGTGAAGCCTCTCATAAATCAATATCCGCTCACCAGAACCCTCTTGAGCATAAAATCCAATCAGCTTACAAAGGTTAGGGTGCTGCAGTGAAGCTAGCACATTCACCTCGTTAACAAATTCCTTCAACCCCTGAAATATCCAAAACATGATACTTTAATGATATATGTAACCATCATTACTTTTTTTTTCAAAATATATGAATTAAAGATCAATGGCCTAGATTTTATCAGACAGATGCTGCAGACTGAATAAAAAAGAGGTGGTGAAATATATATGTGTGTGTAGAGATATCCTAATTCTTTCTTGAAGTTTTAAAAGAAAACATTACCAAAAGCCATGTAGTCAAGAAGAGAACTTCTAACTTTCAAGAAGATGGTACTTGCTAGACAAGCAAAGGTCACTGAGCTACCAAAGACAAGGGATATTCACATATGCAAATATTCTGTCCATACGACAAACTCTTAAGAATTATACTCCCATGGAGAATTGATAAGTTCTCTGGAGCTCCACATGCAGAGTAAACACAAAAAGCGAGCATACAGGAAAGGAAGTCCTAAAATGATGATTTTCATATCTTTTAGTACCTGCACGGAATGCAATACGCGAGTAACTGTGGCTTCAGTCTTCTTCGACCCCATCGTATCATCGCTAAAGCTTGCCTTATAAATTGTAGATGAGGTGCCTTCTGAAATGCAACGGTCAGCAGAGAAATGTAGACATGCACTTGAAACTTCTTCATATGAGAATTTCCGGAAACCTCCCCCTAGAGGTGGCAATGGGAGTGGGCCAGAGGGGGCAATAGGACCGCTGGCGCTGCTTGACTTGAAGCTTCCCAAATTCTTTAAAACTGAGTTGGCCTGCGGCGACGGGAGTGGAAGAGGTAGAGGATTTGAAAAGTGTTGGTCCTTCACCACCCGACCTCTGCCCCTATACTCCTCTTGGTCATCAAACTCCATGGAAGCAAGAGCATCCCGCTCAGCCACAACAAGGCTAGAAGGGGCAGACAATGCTCTGGTTCTGATGTTTGGATATTGACTGGCAGATTGAGATTTTGTTCGGTTTCTGAAACTTGGAGGGGCAGATTGGAGAGACGGCCCATGGGACTCTGGCACAGGAAGTGTGAATGTTGCATTCTCTTTGATGTTGGGGGGTTTTCTGCTAGACAAATTGCCACTTTTCTTCTTCTTGTGCTTCAAGATGGTAAAGCAACCCATTTTGCAAGTACCAATGAGTTAGATATGTCCTGAAAGTGAAACACAAATAACCATACCATCAGAAGAAGGTGGATGAGAATATAAGCAAGCGTATAGCAAGAATTTGGACAGCATTGATTCCACAGCCACCAAAAAAATTCTTCGATGCCAACTAACATGCCCTTGTGAGACTAAATCAATCATCTTCTTGAGGGGAAGACATGCATATAAAAGACTGTCATCTCCAATAAAATTATGTTCGATCGAATCTGTTGAAGTCTCAAGTGATCTAGAAATGAGAATTCGCCAATTCGTCGTTTGATCGAATCTGTCGACTATCTAAGCAAAAAGCAAGACCTTTTTTGATAACGTAGTAAGCAGTATAAAAGTCAGAGACGGTTCTCCGAGCAACATTCAATTCGTCAAACAAGTTTTCCACTTGTTTGACGGCTATTACAATCTGAAACGTCTATTACAATCTGGAATCGATTAATAAGAACTACGATGACGGCTATTACAATCTGAAACGACTTCCACTTCATCCTACGCCCTTCTGAAACAAGTTTTCCTATAATAACGTAGGAATATCCCCATAGATTTCACAAACTTACAACGATCCACCCTTTGTTTCCTCAAGAACCCTCCAAGAGGCAATGAATTGTAAACCATACCTAACTTGATTCCCAAAAAATATTCCAAATTTACGAATACCACAAAAAAAGAACTCGAAGCAAGCAATCGAATCCTTCCGGAACAGAAGCCCTAAAAATAAACGTTCCAAAGACCGTCAATTTCTTAGACCTCCCCCCGAAAGAAAGCCCTTTGAGAATCACAAAGCCAAAGACTCGCATCGAGATCAAGCAACAAGGAACCGGGAGTGCAAAGCTCCAACCTTGCGTCGAAAGGTACTGCTCCGTCACCACGCCGCCGATCCAACGAGCAAGGCGCCTACTCCAGACAAAGAGACGAGTTCGATTCCGCGTGCGCGCGAGGCCCAGAGAGAGAGGTGAGAGATCACACGAGCCAGAAGAGGAGAAGAGGAGGAGGAGGAGGAGGCAATGCAGAGGGAAGGGGGTGGGGAGCGAGAGGAAATGTGGAATTAGAATAAGGAGGTGGTGGCGACAGCATGAAGCACTGGTCAAAGAGGGGAAGGAAAAGTTGATGGGACAGCTACAGGGAGGACCTACCATGTTCCCAATAATACCCCCACCTCTCCTTGGATATGTCTCGAGTGCCACCGCCGAACAATGATCAGAGATTTAGGCGTCTCTGCGCGGATGGCAACAACGTAAATAAATACTATTTAGAGGGCAAGAGAATAATCCACGTTCCCATGGATGTGACAGTCAAGTCAAAGACGAAAAATATATTTTTTCCCCTCTTTACAAATCTATTTTAAGTGCAGTCAAAGAAAGAAAAAGGAAGGATGGAACGTTTGACCGCCTGCTCACCCTACGATCGTCCACGGCCGAACAAACCGACGTTCGAGATCTCTTCTGGACGAAGGTGTGAGTCACGCCAGGGGAGCGAGTAGGAGGAGCAGCGCAACAACGCCCGATCCACTAGTTGATCATTAATTTGGAGGGATGCGGATCCGATCTACAGTCCACGAGTCCGACCCTAATCAAATCCAATGAATCGTGTGGCTGTTAGGACGTCAGATCACGGCCGACCACTTGAGGTCAACCGCCACCAATGCTGGTCTGCGGAGACGCCCGAAGCGTTGCACTCCGTTCTCTGCGCTTCCTCTCGTCGTCCTCATTTGTTCCGTTGCAATGCTTTCTTTGGGTTAATTATATATTATTCTTATAATTAATAATCTCGACACCTCCCAACTTTTAGATCCGCATAGGAGATCACATCCTCAACTTTTCAAATAAGCCCATAAGAACCACTTCTTATCGATTTTGGTAGTTAGAAAAATAAATCTAGTTCTGTATTAATAGATGACGACATAGCCCGATTTTACCGGTCTTTCCTTTTGAATAAACGATGAGAAAACCTCGTCTTGCTTGACCCAAAGAAGTAAAGAAGAGTCTATATTAAATTTTTTTACTATGCGAGGTAAGAAGAGTCTCAATAGAGATCCATCCGCACCACCCAGTACCTAGGTAAAAAAATCATGGCCGAGCCAACGTGAAACAAACAAGCATAAGACACACTTTATTCTCTTAATTCATTGCTAATACTATTGTCTTCCTTCTTTTTTATTTTTCTAACTTAGACATCGAAGTGGTCGAACCGGGACACCTTCGTACGCTAGTCTATTTATTCATCCTGCCCGCCACACTTGCTATCCATATCATCAGAAAAAGTCATCAGAAGAGACCTACACCTTCGGTAGAGAACTAATCGAGTCGACGATCTTTGTGTATTAATAAGTATATTATTTTTTATATATTTTTTAAAATTTATATTAAGAATTTTATACTTATAAAATTAAAACATTTAATTTTGTTTATTTTTACGTTATTGATTTTGTTGACAAAAATATCATAGGATTTACCACTAAATATATGCTAATTCTATCTTATTTTAGATTATGTACGATATTTCCATCAACAAAGTTGACGATACGAGGAGAAATAAAATTAAATGTTTCATTTAAATAAATATAAAAATCTCAATCTCCATTTTTTTAGGTGTATAGTCTATTTACATAATTATATATGTTTTAAATGAAAGTGAACGTATTAGGATTCTTATTAACGGAAACATTTGAGCTCTTGAAAAGTATTTTTCTTATCTTAATTAAATCTAAATTATTTGGAGGGTTTGATTGTGAATTTAAATAGGAAATTTTTCTTTATGATTTATTATATATTTATTATATTAATACCTCATGAATATTTTTTGTTTTTTGTTTTAATGAAAGAGTATGATGTGACACAGATTATTGAGAGTATACAAAAGGATCCATGTTTGAGTTGAGATTAATTAAATTATCTTTATAATTCATTTTACATGAAAAATATCTTGATTTCCTTCGTAAGGAAAATGATATGATAACGACTATTAAGATGAATTGGATTTATATTACAATCAAATGTCGGGTCACAATCCAATCTCGGTGTTGGATGCTATAATAGCACTCTTCTATTCAAAGAGTACTTATCAGCCCGATCGACTTCATACAATGCCATGAACTCGATGCAACATTACATGTGCTTCCGCATAACAATTAAGGATGTCAGATGTCATGGGATTAATGGTAGGTTTTATGGGTTTGATTTTGTACATTGGAAACAAAATTCTCACCATTTATTGCTCTTGAATGTCCCATTTAATGTTTTTGCCCATGAGATTCAAATTTTTTTATATATATAAAGACTACGACAATCATAATAATTCTTGTAGACATATCAACACGATCACAAATAACATCAATAATAGTTCAGTAATTTTTTTTTTAAAATTTAAAATTTTATTTATTCTAAATATATTTTTATTTATACTTAACATTCTTATTTTCTAAAAGATAAAATTATCTTTTAACTTTTCAGTGCCTTCGTCCCTCGACATTATGCACCAATTTGACACGATGTCTTGTTGCCTTCGTCCTATCGCTCTCGCTCTTGTCTTGAACTATACCCTCCCTCTCATCTATCATTTTCGAGACATCATTAAAGACTTTACCTTTGTCCTATTGTATATCTCGAGGAGGTGGTCACCGATTGGATGATGATGAGCTATGTGAAAGCCAAAAATAATTTTTATTTTTTTTAAATAATAAGAAAAAAGACAATAAAAGTATATTTAAAGGTTTTTTTTTTTAGGAATTTGCCAATGCAATGGTAGCAAAAGATGATTGTTAGATATGTAAATGACATAACGTTCATTTTCGGCCAAAATGGGGACCAAGTAGGGTGACAGGAAATGACACGACACGTGCTGCCATCAAGCGGTGCCTTCGTGTCATCATCATGACCACCATCATCATCATTTGCATGATCACGGATGAGGCGATTCCATGACATGTCCACCGACGCCATCGCCTCCGCCATGATCTAGCAGCGACTGCCGGCAAGTCGGGCACGACGAGTGCGAAGCCAACCACTTGTCGATGCACCTGACATGGAACCCGTGGTGGCACCTGGGGAGTACCCGGACCTTCTCCCCGTCGGCGAACTCGCCGAGACATATGGGGCATTCGGTGGCCGGGAAGTCGGCCCCCGAGCCGTACACGGCCACCGGGATGCGGCGGAGCGACCGCTTCTTGAGCCCCGTCGCCGCCAGCCTCGAAGAGACCTCCTCGGGGTTCTCGAATACCACCCGCCGGCCGCACCGAAGAGCGCACCGCACCACGGAGTTCAGCCCGAGCGCGAACACCAGGGCGCACAGCAGCGCCGCGAGGATGAAGACCATGTTGGTGTCAAAGCTGGCGGTGCCGCCGCCATTGTTCCGGGTGGCGTGCTGCCTGGTCCCGTTGGCCGCGGTCGGTGGCGTCCCCAGGAACTCGCCGAGCAGCCTACGCATTGCGGATTCTGTCATGCAGCCGCCCCAGAGCGAGAAGTAACATAAGAAGAGGAAAGAGGAGTTGTGAGACTTCAGCCTTTCTCTCACTGATCCCTCTCCGAATAGTCTTCTCGGGGAGTGATGCTGCGAGGAATCCGAGAAAGATAAAAGACATCAGAAGAAGCAACCTTATTGCCTTAGCAGGAACCAACGGCAAAGAAGAGGAGAGAGCTATCGCAGACCTCTGAATTGCTTCTGCCGGAACCCACTGCTGCCGGTGACTGCAGACCTTTGGTTTGCACGATTAAGCGAGATATTTTGGCTGGATGAAATCAGTGACCTGGGAGGAAGAAGGGGAATCTACACAGACACGGAGAGAGAAAAAGGAATTGACATGAAAAGATGTACACAGTGCTTTACAGAAACATGTACGTAAAAGTTGAGCTTCTCACAGACGATGCATCGATGAGAAATAAGCACCCAAACCACTTGCTTGATCTTTCATGTTACAGCCAACACATGTTACGGCAGCCATGAAGGGGACATAATGATGTGCTGGCTCTCACAGCTTTCAATCTCGCATTGGTTGACAGTGGCTCTTAGGGTACTGATGGGGCCTGCGGGAAGATGTCACTGCTGCATGCTTGCTAGATATTTTGCTGCTGGTGATCTCCGTGTGTTGAAGTGACAGAGATCTTTTCAGCTCAGTCCACCTCCTACCAACCGCACCTTGTAGAGAGCAAATGGCTCGTTGAGATCTTGTGATAGAGGTGCATGTGGCACCTTTTAGAATGAAAGAAGATCCATGGACGTCCACTTCGGCCGCGTCGGCGATTACACATACTGAGGTATCGATGGACTCACGAGATTACGCACATCAACTCAGTAATGTCATTTCTCATTGTATTACATATGATTGGGTGAGAGGTTCTGTTCATGGGAGATTACGCTTCATGAAGCTGCAGTATGTGCGTGTCAAAATGATACGGGAGGAGACTGTGCTGACCAACAAAATTGGTTTGATGAACTTAAGCTGCTAAGTGAATCATCCATCATTTTTAGCCAGAACAAGCCCAGGAGAACAGCATCAAACAAAGATTCTACGTTTGAGTACATACCGAGTACATCAACTAGAAAATGAGCTTCAAATAGATAGTAACACAACTACAGAACCCAACCTACTGCAACTACGTGGCTATATGTAAGCTACAACGACGATGGAGAGCTTGCACACTCGGAAGAATGTTCCCAGAACATTAACTCCCACCTTATTTATGTGGAGGCACTCGAACACCCTCTCCGGCATAAAGTAGCAGCTCGATCACTTCACCCTGCAAAAACAAGTAACCGGTAAAAGCGGTGTCTCAAGCATTACGTTGGATTCATGATGTCTTATGGTAGCCATATCCACATGTACAGCGTCACGTTCAGATACTTGCCGAGAGCAGTCGGTGGAGGGGCCGATGCTGTAGGGGATATTGACGCCGCACTTCCTCGGGATCCCGGAGATGAGACCGGGCTGAAGCCCCTGGATGCCGGCCGTGGATCTCTTGAGGCAGTTACACGTGGTCTGCCGGTCCGGCGTGGTCCGTGCGGCGCCATCGAGCGCCCTCACCCCGGAGCAGCACCCAGCGGTGAGAGGCCCTATGGCGCGGGCGTAGCCGAGGCACGGCGTAAGGTAAGAGACCACCTGGCCACAGCTGATCGCCGCGTGCGCCCCGGCGGTAAGAAGGCAGGCCAGCACGAGAGCCAGGAGAGCACCAGAGCGAGCCATGGCGTTGCGGTACTGCTCCTATACGTACGTCTCTCTCTTCTTCTCTTGAGGATGGGTGGGTGTGCAAGGAAAGGGCTGCCATGGCTGTGCTTATAGCATGAAGGAGGGGTAGGTGGGAGTTGGGTTCACGAAGGATGTCGCGTTAAACTGGTGTCCTACAAAATGTGGTACATGAGAGGCTACACAGTATGTAATATGTAGCGTAATGAAGGTTACGGAAGAACATGTCCTCCGAATCAGTACGAAGTGGTGACATGACTTCTTTCGATAGGTTAGAAGGGACGAGCACTGATGCAGTGGTTTAATGCGGCGTCACAGGGCATGACAAGTCAAGTCGAGATGGTACGGTCATCGAGATTCGCGCGGAGATGCCATTCGTACGGTGATACTGTTCCTCCCATCTAATCTTCCATGTTGATGATTAGTAATACGTACGAGTAGGCAGTAGCTATTGCGTTGCAAAATGACCAGCTTGTCCTTTCGATGTAATATTTATTAACTATAATTAGAAAAATATTAAAAATATTTAATATTTTTTACACCTAAAATAATATGAACATTAACTGACAAATAACTACAAAAATCATTGCATGAATTCCACTATATTAAGATAAATAATGGATTGTTTCCGAGAATATTTCTCTAGTTGGGAGTCGTTGATTTTAAAGAATGGTTGGATTATATATCTCCCTAATCTTTCACTCTCGGGATTAATTTCTTAGCCATCGAAGGGAAGCATCATAGTATCAATCTTTGTTGAAGGAGGTTGGCGAGGAATCCACTACTACGGGAGCTTTGTTCTCCACCTTTCTCCGTTCAACCCTTTTTAGACCAACACAGTGTGACGGATTTGACTCCTGTGTTCATATGACGGTCGCGGAAGGAGTTGACCCATAAAAGAACAATAAAATGATTTGAGTATAATATTATGATGTTATAATATAATTGAAAGATAATATTTTTAAATAAAAAAAATAAAATAATATTAAGTAAGAGGTAAAATTTAAAACACTTCAAATATTTTCAAGTGCAAACACTTTTACTCCATAAATTATGGTATTATTTATAGAATATAATAATAATTATCTTATCATCTTATGTCATCTATTATTAACTTAGATATAAAAATTATCTTATGATAATAATTTTTTTATATCATGAGCTACATAACTAGAACTACTTAAAAGATGACTAAAACTATCCGTAAGTATCAAGGATAATGACCTATAAATCAATTTTCAATCATTCCTCTTTATTCATAGTTATATAAATCAATTTGAGATAAAATAAATATGTTTTTGAAATAAAAATGACTTAATGAGAATATCTATAATTTATTCATCGACATTACATTACTTTATTATTATAACTCTACTTACTATAATATCTCTCGGATGAAATGATAACATATTTTTATATGTTTCATTCTTCAAAGATTGGATTCTGTTGCTTCATTGTAATTGACTTTGTTGTTATAAAATATTTTAATTACTTTTCTTTTATTCTTAATTAAAACATTTGAAAAAAATTTAAACCATATTGTTTGTCTTCCTTTTTTATATACAAAGTAAGTTCATTATTACTCTATGCTTATTTTGATAAAAATAGTAGTCAATTTTGCTGCATCATACCATTAGAGCTTGTTTAATCATATAAATAGCTTTTATATTTTTTTTTCTTTATGTTCTTTAACTAAAAAAAAAATCTAAGAGTTGAGTAATAATTTTTTTTTGTAAGTCTTCATTTAAAAACATATATTTTACATCAAATTAACAAATAAACTAATACAAGTGAGCAGTTAAAGTAAAAAAAAATTCTCACAATTTTAAATCTAGCAATCGGAGAAAATGTATCATCAAAATTAATTCGATATTGTTGTGAATATTCTTTTGCTATAAATCAAGTGTTGTGCTTTTGGATATATTATTATACTTTATTTTGAATACTCATTTCAATTTAATATTTTTTTTTCTTTTAGTAGATTTATTAGCTCTTAGGTTTCATTCTTCTCAATTGACTTGACTTTCTTCTTTATTATTTTTTATCATTCTTTTCTTTTAACTGTTTTCTCAAAGTTAGTAGAAGACTTTAATTAAACAAAATAAATATTAAATAATAAATTTTTGTTAGTGATTTAAATTTTTCTAGAGAGGTTTCATCTAAGAAATTATTTGATGAATCTAAATTGCTTTTTATTGAGGCTAATGATGAACTTGTTAGAGTTGTATTAACTACTTGATTGTACAAAGTGTTTAATTCTATTAAAATATAAATTTGTCTTTTACTATTATCCTAATTACGACTTGTCATTTCTTCAAATATAATATTTTTATTAATAATAACTTTGTCATTGGCAAAATTATAGAACCAATATGTTTTGGATTGCAAGAAATAACCAATTAAGATATATTTTTAGATTTTTTTATTAAGTTTATGATGATTTTATGAATTTATAAAAACATAAATAATACAACCAAAAATTTTTAAATGGCTTTTACTTGGGTTCATACAATACTTGACTCATTCAATACAATTATTATTGGTGAAATATTCAACAAATAAATTATTGTTGCAACTACTTTGAACCAAAACTAATTTAGAAGATATTTTCTCTTAAGCAAACTTCTTATTATTTCACTGATAGTCTGATTCTTCCAGTCAGCTATACTTTAATGTATATGGTGCTATTAATTCATGACAAATATTATTTTCTTCATAAAAAGTAAACTTATTAAATAAAAATTTATCATCTCTATTTTTCTTAAGTGTCTCTGTGCATCTATTATATTGTCTTTCTATAAGTGTCTTGAATTTTAAAAAATAATTAAATATTTTAGATTTTAGTTTTAGAAAATATACCAAACTCATACGGTTATAATAATCAATAAATAATAAAAAAAATCAACTTTCATTAAATAATTTTATATTCATATATCCACATAAGTCAACATCAATTGATTCAAGATAATTAGATACTACTTTTCTAATATGAATTGATTTCTTACTTTGTTTCTCATAAATATATCTTTGACATATGTCAAGCAAATATATTAATTTTGTACGGTCCAAAAATTATTTCTCTTTCACTTAACAACCTTAAACATTTAATATTAAGATGTTTACATCTTGAATACCATAAATTAGATATATTCTTTTGAATTACAATAAGAGCATATTTTTATATGATTTTTTAATCTTTAATAGTGTATAAGCCATTATCAAATATAATTAAATATTCATTATTCATCAATTGTTCAATACTCACTGAGTTATATGATAAATTAGGAATAAAAAAAATATTATCAAGATATTTTATCTTCCCTTGACTTATTTTTACCTCAATTATTCTTTTCTTCTTACTTGAATTTACTTACTATCTTGAAGTCCAATTTTGTTACGACCCAAGTCTAATGGGTTAACTGGCCTATCAACTTCGTTTGGTCTAAACAACTGACCAAAATGCTTAAGCTGAAGTTGATAATAATATACTCATCAGACTAAGTCAATCTTAATTTTGCCCACTTTCGATGTGAAACTAATCAGTAGTGTTATAAATTTGTAACTTATGAGTTTTATCAAAAATTCTTAATATTAATATTATACTTGATATATAATTAAAATATATAATATCTAAAAAATAAATATCATTTGAGATATTATTAACTTGTAAATGAGTCATAAATAATTTATTATTTTCTTCATTTTCCTCCACATATCTTGCTTGTTTTTCTCTCTTCCAATAATCTACTTTTATGTGGTCAAACTTTTTATAATAATAATATTAAATTTTACTCTTTATAATTTTTTATCATAATTTGATTACTTTTATTTATCATATATGTCAAAGTATCCTCTTTCTATTCTTCTTTCATTTCATTTATTATGAAATCCTTCTTTGTCACATCCTCTTTCTATGGACTATTTTATCTTTTCTTTTGAAGTGGAAGACTCTTTTGTAACTTAAAATATTTTTTCTTTACTTTTCCCAAGTGATCTGTTGAATCTTACTTCATATGCTGGCAAGGATCTCATTAGTTTATAAAAGAAAAAGTAGACAAATATTTTGACTCCTCAATTATAAAAACAATATGATCAAATTTTGGAGTTATAATCCTCAAATTTTTTACAATAATAATATGATCATAAATATATTTATAGTAAGATTTTATTTTTCTAATAATTTTATTTATTTTATAAAAAAAATCTTGCATTGATTCATTGTTTTTCATGAACAAAATTTTAAACATGAGGAAGGGTTTGAAGTCTTACCATAACCACCTTCGATGAGTTTTGAAATTCATTTTAAAGTATCAATCAAGCGTATTTTGAGGTTATAGCTACTATAAATTTTAGGAGATTGTATCATGTGTAGCTTATTGAATAAAAAACAATGTTTTTGAGCTCTTTCTACTTTTCATAGTCTGATTTCTTTATATGAATCATTAGCATATCTATTTTTTATTAAATCTCGAAAATCTTGAAACATAAATAGAGTTTTCATCTTAATACTTTAAAATTTATAGCATTTACTCAAAAAGATAAAAATAAAAAATTAAGATATAAAATTACCGAAGTCATAATTGTCTGTTCATATCTAACTTGGCTTGGCTCTAATATCACATATATCGAAGATGAAACAAGAAAATGATAAAAACAAAATTATAGAATATAATGATAGAACATAATGATAACTACCTCAGTATCTCATGTCACCTATGATTAAATTAGGTATATCTTCATGATAGTAACTTCATTGATCATGGGGTAAATTAATTCTCAACAAATATTCATTTGTGGATTTAAAAAATATGACTTCGATAACTAATATATATATTTGGGATCATAAGGGCTATCACTCTTTATTAGGACTAATTTATGAAAGTGTAATCTTCATATTCATAAAATTACTAACATATGTTTTAATTTTATAATAAATATTAAATTTATTTATTATTTTTATAAATAAATATTAAATTTATTTATTATTTTTTTATAAAATAAATATTAAATTTATTTGTTATTTTTATATTTTACATTGATAATATTCTCATACTATTTGATAAACATATTTAGTTCATCAAGAAAAAAATTAAACTACACATTTATAAACATCTACTAGAGTCTATCCTAAATTAAAAATTATACAAGGCTCACCCAAAACAAGAAATTCATCATGGCCATAGTGCTATTTTTTTATCCGATAAAATTTATCATTTGTCCTAAAGATTTGAATACACATAGAGTCTTCACGGCTTACCCTTAAAAAAATATTTATAATTTTTTTTTATCCTTGATCCTAAGGATCTCAATTCATATTTTGCCTTCACCATTTATCCTTAAAAATATATAAATTAAGAAAATAAAGAATTATATATTAAACAATACTATACTCATATTAAAAGTTGAAGATTCAAAAATTCATTCGATATATTTTGACACCTAAAGCATTAGTACGATGGTTGTGTCTAGACCCACTTACCAACGATTAAGGGTTTGAAATCTCACTCGATATATTCTATAATTATAATACTGATTTAATAATAATATATCATACCCACTTATTAAAGGTTGAGTGTTCAAAGATCTCATCTAATATATTTTTATTAAATATATTAGCCAACTTAACTAATAAAGACTTTCATAATATCACAACAATATCTTGATCTCGAATCATGCCATCGTCACTTATCTTGACTAGCCCATCGGTCAATCGAGTGTCGTGGTCAATTTATTTGGGCCCAATCTAACAGCCCAAGCCCAATAAGAGCCTTAATCGAACGATCAATTGAAAGTGCACGAAGGCCATCTCTGCCATAATAAATATATAAAAACAATTAATAAACGAACAAATCCTATGTGGATTTGATTCATCCTCTCATCGGCAGACATCACGGATGCAAAGTCACACGAATAGATCTAATGATGTGATTTCAAGTCGAAGCGGCAGAGGTCAGTGATTGAATAGCTGCCACGTTTTCAATTCAAGTGCTCTTCAACGGCAGACACTAAACGTGCCATGTCTTTCAAATAATGGTTTCAATCCCACTCCAAAGATAGGGTATGAATAATAATAATAGATAAAGTCACAATGGTTTCTTAGATTTGACGTATTCAAACTCGTCCTCCAATAATTGTGATGGACGAGTCGATATGATAAAGATTATTATATATTATGAATTAAAATTTTAAGTTAGAATTATTAGATTATATGATCATGTATTAGATATATTATGAATATAATTAGATTATAATTATGATTATCAATATAATTATGGTAGGATTTCTTGAGAGATGAATTTCTTGATGAGATCGACTATCCTAATTAATTATCCTAGATTCTTTATTTTCGTCTATCCTTAATCACATAAATTGTTATCTTATTTCTCTTTTGTCCCTCATTCATCATTTATAATGATCATATAAAGAATAAGAATAGAAGAGAAAGTGAGTCTTGTTCTTTTTACGACTTTACTATAATTTTTGGATTCAACGACGAATTAGATAAAAGCTTTTTGAATGATATCGAAAGATACGCATCGTATCGATTTATTATTATTTGATTTCAGATTTTAGTATTAAGATTTTTTTACATAATAATAACATAAGAATGATTTTTACGCTTATAAGATCTCTACAATGACTTAATCTTTGTTCGAGAGCGACAATTTTAATATTCTCCACATAGCTCTTATCATGTTAGTGTCGAGAGTTACACTGATTGAGTTTTATATATCAAATCATAATTTATTAACATCACATATGTATTTTTTTGAGATATAATTATCTTGAATTGATTAATAATATAATAATCCATCGTCGACTCAAAAATTATATATTATCATGACGAGAAAAAAGACATCCTTCACGTTTTTAGCAGTCCAATAATTTCATGTTTTATTCAACATATAGTAATATTATGAAATGAGTTGTGTGTGCTTGACACATTAATCACGCACATAAAAATTGATGATAAGTATAATTACTTGGTCTTTAATTATATTATGGACATGGACACATCATCAAATAAACCTCGAAAATACGTGGAAAGAATCGACCAGATCAGCATTATGATTCGTATTTATGATTGATCTATCATTAATGAAGCCCAACAAATTCATTTATATTTAAGCAAACAGAACATCTTGGTCGATTATTTTGACTATAGATGAACATTTAATGTTCGTACTTTGATGTCATAGAAGAAGAAGAGGAGAGAGAGAGAGAGAGAGAGAGAGTGTGTGTGTGTGTGTGTTGTGGTGGGTGCACAAAGGGTGTGTGGAACAGTTGATGGGTCATGTCACAAGAACCAGTTGTGGGTTGGGAGGATGCATGCGTCCAAGCCCGGTGTGTATGAGTGGACCCCCACCCACATGGGTGTTTGGGTGCATGCTGAGGAGGTGGGTCCTATTTTGACCCTATTTTATTTCAGAGGATTGCACACACAGTTACATTCATACATATAGTTTGACTATAGCTTATGTCACCTTCCAAAAATTAATGTGTATATATATATATATACGTGTGTATATGTATAATTAACGTAAGAGTAGGAAGCATGTTGCATCAATTGAAGATTTGTGCTATACTTGCAAGATTTAGACATGGCATCCGCCCTTGTCTCATTCCTCGGTCAATGTCACGTCTCAAGAACAATGCCGAGCTCCAAGATATGCTCACCGTCTTGGAATCGACATGGCACCCGTCCATGTCATGGGATTGGCCGCAATCCCCGCTACCCCATGTGCTCCTAACATGGTGGGGTCCTCCTCCCAAATCATCACCTAATCTCTAATAATTCACAGTTAATTAAAGATGTGGCTATGCTTCCCTGACTTGGTTGTCCATCACAAACAATTACGGGGGTATACTTTGGGTTTGTGTTTGGCTCGTAGTTAAAGCTCTACGCCTCCAACATAACGTGATGGGTGAGATGGTCCAAACCACGACACAGGAGGAGGCGGGCCCCACGGCATCGGGAGTTGGGTACTCGCACCGCAACATTTGCATGTGCGTTGGATATGCATGCGCAGCGCAATCCGTCTCGAGACTGTGGCCGGCTTGGACATACGAACGCCCAACTTGTCTCTGCGTGCCCCACTTTCTCCTCCTATAAATGCGCTCCCTCCCCCCTCCTTCCCATTTCATCAAACACCTGCGGCGCACGTTCTCCGATGGCATCACCAAACTCCTCCCTCTCCAATGCCGTCTTCCTCTTCTCTTCCCTCGGCTTTCTCGTCGCCGGGGCCTCCGGGTACTCCGGGTGGGAGAGCGCCCACGCCACGTTCTACGGCGGGGGCGACGCTTCCGGCACCATGGGTAACTAGCTGCCCTTTATGTCTCTCTCTCTCTCTCCGTCAGTACGTATGGCGAGTGCTGTGGTTATATTGCTGCTGCCTTTGTGTGAATGGCAGGTGGAGCGTGTGGGTATGGCAACCTTTATAGCCAAGGCTATGGCACGAACACGGCGGCGCTGAGCACGGCGCTGTTCAACGACGGGCTCAGCTGCGGATCCTGCTACGAGCTGAAGTGCGACGACGACCCGCGGTGGTGCCTCCCGGGGTCGATCGTGGTCACCGCCACCAACTTCTGCCCGCCCAACAACGCGCTCCCGAGCGACAATGGCGGGTGGTGCAACCCGCCTCGGCCCCACTTCGACATGGCCCAGCCGGCCTTCCTCCAGATCGCGCAGTACCGCGCCGGGATCGTGCCGGTGGCCTTCAGAAGGTGAGCTCCTTTCCTCCCCGAGACCCACGCGGCGCCACCACGTCCGCGACATCTCTCACTGATGTGCCTGCGATGCCGCTGCAGGGTGCCGTGCGTGAAGAAGGGCGGGGTCAGGTTCACCATCAACGGCCACTCCTACTTCAACCTGGTGCTGATCACCAACGTCGCGGGCGCCGGCGACGTGCACTCCGTGTCCATCAAGGGCTCCAAGAGCGGGTGGCAGGTGATGTCCCGCAACTGGGGCCAGAACTGGCAGAGCAACTCCTACCTCGACGGCCAGAGCCTCTCCTTCCGCATCACCGCCAGCGACGGCCGCACCATCACCAGCTTCAACGTCGCGCCCGCCGGCTGGCAGTTCGGCCAGACCTTCGAGGGCGGCCAGTTCTGACCTCCATCACTCCCATTCTTCCACCCACCAACCATCGCAGCAGGAAGAGAGAGAAGAAACCTCTTCAAACACTATATATACATACATATTATGGGTGTGTGAGAGAGAGATGATGCCAAGGCCGAGGTTGCTTGATGAGCACCCGCCAATGCCTTCTCTTACAAGTAGAGACGTATCATATGATGCTGGTCTTAATTAGCTTATAAGGATTGCAGGCAGTAGTACTACTCTATTATTCCTCATCAAATGGATGAGAGATGGCTGTGGGGAGAGGCAACTGTACTCGTGTGTTGTGGCAAGACACTCATGAAATATATGAAACATGCATTGCTTGTCGTTTGGCACCTCACTGTCTCCTTTCTTGATCTCTTCCAACATGTGACTAAGAAGGAATTGTCATCTTCTTCACAGGGCTATTAGTTTCCACCATTGACATCATATTCATACACTTCAAACTCCCAAGTATATATTCAGACCTCATTACATTGCACCAGGTTGACAAATCATGAATGCATGCTTCTGTCATCTTAACAGGTCTACTTTGACTGGATCAAAAGAAGGATACCAAAGTCAAAGAAACACTTCATTGTTGCCTTGATATCCAAGTCTTAACCGATGAAGAAAGAAGAAAGAAATGAAAGACTAAGGAAGGATACCATATAATAATAGCTAAATACAAATACTAAATCTCTCTTCTCTCCTTTCTCGAACTACTTCAGATGCATCTCTCATCAAAATTTTATATAATAACTAAATCCTAATTCAGAAAGTTTCTTCCCATTCTTGAATTACTTGTCTATTCAAGTAATTTGGATTATATTAGGAATCCAAAAGATAATTGCCAATCATAACATCCATCTTACAACATATAACTCCTACGATTGGGGATCCAACAATGGCAACGAAGTCTGTATTTTTATTTTCTTTGATAGCACTAAATCTGAGCAATAATTCTTTATCGTTTGTGTTTTAGTGAATACATATTTTGTTTTGTCATGAATATAATTCTTGTGAGAATAAAATTAGCAACTCCATGAATAAATATGATTATGATGCTTTGTTGTTTGGTATTGGATGGAAATTATTTCTAAAATAGCTGTTCCATTTTTTTTCTTAAGGAGAAAAATGTTAAATATATGATACAATTTATGAGCCAAAAGATGTCAAATACACTTTAAATGTGGAAAAAATAAATCATATTTTCACATGAAACCAAAATAAAAATAAAAAGAGTAGTCATCTAAATTTATCTCGTTTTCAAAGAAAAAATAAATAGATGAATTCCAGGAAAAAACCCACTTGTATGCAAGTATCTGAAATTAGTGTTGATATAATATTATAGATTTATTTTTATAAAAATATTTTTTGATAAATTTATTTATTTATTCTAAATTATCTAATTAATAATTGGAGTCGATTCAAATAAATTTGGACCGGTTTGAAATTTGCTGAACCAACCCCAATGAACCAAGTCTATAGGCCAAATCAATTAAAACCAAAAGCACCATATATATATATATATATATATATATATATATATATATATATA